GCAGCACATCACACAGGGATAAGCAGTAGGGGATCTCCTGAGATACCGTCTCGTAGTCCCAAAAGTAAATATGCAAGGAGATATCCTAAGGAACTGCCTCGTAGTCTTTAAAGTAAATGTGCAGGGAGATCACCCGAGGTACCGCCTCGTAGTCTCAAAAGTAAATGTGCAGGGGGATCTCCTGAAATACCACCTCGTAGTCCCAAAAGTAAATATGCAAGGAGATATCCTAAGGAACTGCCTCGTAGTCTTTAAAGTAAATGTGCAGGGAGATCACCCGAGGTACCGCCTCGTAGTCTCAAAAGTAAATGTGCAGGGGGATCTCCTGAAATACCACCTCGTAGTCCCAAAAGTAAACACACAGCTCGAAACCAATAAATACAACAATTAACAACAAGAATTCTGAAGTTTAGACTAACACAAATCAAGGAAAAATAGGAAATCAACTAAGCATGCTGCACATAGTTCAAATAAGCATTTAAGACACGTAGACATGCGATATTAGGCTAAACAAGATAACTATACATACTGGTATAACTCAATTAGGATGAAACAGGTTACTATTTAGTAAAAACAGTATTTTCAATAATTAGCCCATGTACGCACTCGTCACCTTGCATACAACACTCATATATCACAGAAGTATCACAATAGTACCAAATCACAAGGTTAGGCAAGCCACTTAACTCGAACCAAGCTCAATTAATCAGTAAGAATGCCTTTTCCATGATTTTCCAACTCCGAATGGTCCAAATCTTGCCAAAAACAATTACATACCATAAACACAACTATAAGAAACTAATCTAATTAAAGAAATCAAGACTTTAGCAAGAAATTAGAAATTCGCCCCAAAAGTCGACCCAGGCCCACGTCTCGGAATTAGGTAAAAGTCACAAAATACAAACAACCATTCAGTCACGAGTTTACTCGTACCAAAATTGCTCAAATCCGATATCAAAATCCCAATCAAAACTCAAAAATTTAGTTGAAGAACTTTCCAATTTTTCCTCCAATTGTTTCAACCCAAATCCTTAATTAGATGATGAAATTAACTATAGATTAGTGGAATGTAACCATAAATGAGTTAATAATCATTACCCCATAGCTTCCTCTGAAAATCCTCTAAATTATCGCCTAAATCCGAGCTCTCAAAGTCCCAAAGTGAAAATGGGATAAAAACCCTCAAACTTTCTTTTCTGCCCAGCGATTTCGCACTTGCGGACACTCAGACGCACTAGCGGTACCGCACCTACGGAAATTCCATAGCAGGTGCGGACTTGACTTAAGTCCACTGGTCCACTTCTGCGATCAAACCCAAACCTGTGAGTGCATGCCTGCGAACTCTTGTCTGCTTATGCGGACTTCCCCTTCCAGCTCATTCCCACTTCTGCAATCGTTCCTCTGTAGAAGCGACTCCGCTTCTGCGGTCCTCCCGTCGCACTTGCGAACATTGGACATCCTCATCGTCCCCGCATTTGTGGTCCTCTTCTCACACGTGCGAGTACACATATGCAGCCAAGCCTACCGCAGGTGCGATTTCACTAGAAGCTTGAAAGCTTCAGCATCTCCTCCAACTTCCAATTCGATCCGTTGACCATCCGAAATCAAGCTGAGGCCCCCGGTACCTCAACCAAATATACCAACAAGTCCTAAAATACCCTATAAACTTAGTCGAGCCTTTAAATCACATCAAATAACAACAGCAACGTGAATCACACTCCAATTCAACCTTAATGAACTTGAAACTTCAAACTTCTACAACCGACGTTGAAACATATCAAATCACGTTCGATTGACCCTAAATTTTGCACATAAGTTATAATTGACATTATGGACCTACTCCAACTTCCGGAATCGAAATTCGACCGCGATATCAAAAAGTCCACTTCCGGTCAAACTTCTCAAAAATTCAACTTTCGCCATTTCAAGCCTAATTCAGCTACAGACCTCCAATTCACAATCCGGACATGCTCCTAAGTCTAATATTACCCAAAAAAGCTAATGAAACGGACAAAACTCTATTCCGAAGTCGTCTTCACATAGTTCCAAGTACGGTCAAAATTCTAGAACTTAAACTTCCATTTTAGGGACTAAATGTCCCAAATTACTCCAAAACTAAAAACAAACCCTCCCGACAAGTCACATAAGCAAAAAAAGACATGGGGAAAGCATTAAATAGGGACCAGAGCTATTACTCTCAAAATGACTAATCGGGTCGTTACAGATTGGGTCTATACATTTGCTATATATTTCTTTTAATTGTTATTCTTCAACTTTTTTACTTTTGTAAAAATTTCGTTCTAGATAATATAGGTATATATGAAAAATTACTTTCATGATATTCTCTATCTTTAAATGCCGTATTTTATGATCAATGATAGCTTTCATTGAAATGACTTTTTTGCTTATTTTTTTCTTTTACTTTATTCTTTCAGTTAATTGATCTTATTCATTATTTATTTAGTATGATGGAATTTCAAACTAAAGAATTTGACGCAATTAAGTCATTTGATGATATGCCTACAACAACTGAACAATTCATTTGGTTAGTAAAACTGTAAAGCAAGTGAAGGATACACCCCTTCAAAAGGGTATAGACTCTAATATCAGACCCGAGAAAAACAACGAAGTTCATGAGGGTTTCATTTAGTTAAATACAGTAGTAGATGGAGAAGGTGCTTAAGCCCTGTTCTGCTTTTCAGATAAGATTCTTATCTCCTAAAAAGTTGTTCCCAATGTTTTAAATTTTGTGTTTTTCTTAAGAAGATTTTTGCTAGGTTTTTCAATTTTCGATTCTCTTTTGAGGAAAACTGAGTCAATTACTGGTTGTGATTATTTTCTTTCGTAAGACTTTTCTGAGTGAATCTTTTTGTTTGAATTCGTATAATATATGTGCGGTTACACAAGTAATTAGGCTTATGATAAATGGTTGGTTAGCAATGTGTGCATATGTTCCCTTTTTATCCTGTGAATTGATCTTGTGGCTCATGATGAATGATTGTCTTGAATTGATTGTTCATGTTTGAAGAAAAATTTGACCTATTTGTGGAAAGTATTAACAAAAGTTTAGTGAGAAAGAGCTATTTTTATAGTGTTAAGTTTAAGGATGATTCATCCATTTTTCATGTTAACAGCTTTTCATTATACCAACAAGCCTTGAAAGATTATAGTGCCTCAAATCCCATGTTTGCATATTACTTTGCATCAATAAAGTGGTAACATATATAGGAGAAAAAGTTGCAGTTTAATTTGGAGAAAAACACGTAATTACAATCATTCAGATTCATGTCTTCTTTGGTTAAATGCAAACATTTAGAATGATTGAATATGTGCAGTATCTTGATTTTAAAAAATTAAAAGTTATGCATGATGAATTACTTGGTTAAACTCAGATATGTACCTTTTATGTGTTAAATATACAGTAAACGTTCAACTGTATCTTTTTTTTAATATATAATTAAGAATATATAGAAAATAACCATGATTACAAAGAAAAAGATTTTAATATTTTTTTGAGTTCTATGATTTCTTTTGCCCTGTGTTCTGGAGTCAAAATTTTATTTACATAGAGAGAAGCTTGCTAGATCAAGATACACATAATATCAATATAACGACCTGGCCGATTATTTTGAGAGTAATAGCTCCGATCCCTTATTTACTGCTTCCTCCATATCTGTTTCTGCTTATGTGACTTGCCGGGAGGTTTTGTTTTTGGTTTTGGAGTGTTTTGGGATCCTTAGTCCCTAAACGAAAGTTTAAGTCTTAGGAGTTTGATCGTAGTCGAAATAATGTGAATCCGACTTCGAAATGGAGTTTTGACGGTTTCGTTAGTTCTGTTGGATGATTTTGGACATAGGAGTGTGTCCAAATTATATTTTGGAGGTCTGTAGCTGAATTAGGCTTGAAATAGCGAAAGTCGATTTTTTGGAAAGTTTGATCGGAAGTGGACTTTTTGATATCATGGTCAGATTCCAATTTCATAACTTGGATAAGTCCGTAATGTTTAATATGACTTTTGTGTAAAATTTGAGGTCAATCGGATGTGGTTTGATGGATTTCGGCATCAATTGTAGAAGTTTGAAGTTTCAAAGTTCATTAAGTTTGAATTGGAGAATGATTAGTATTTTTAGCATTATTTGATGTAATTTGAGGGTTCAACAAAGTTTGTATGGTGTTTTAGGACTTATATGTATGTTTGGTTGTGGTCCCGGGGGCTTCGGATTGATTTCGGATGGTTAACAAATCAAATTTAGTTTTGGGAGAATGGGTGAAGTTCTTGCACCTGGTATAATCGCACCTGCGCATTTTGGGCCACAGGTGCGATGCCGGATTTAGGCCTGCCCAGCGAGGACCGTAGAAGTGGTAAGAATCTCGCAGAAGCAGATTCACAGGAGCAGAGAAAGGACAAAGAAGCGAGTGTGCAGAAGCGACCCTTGATTGCAGAAGAGATTCTTGAGAACTTAAGTTAAGTCCACACCTGCGATGGTTTTACTGCAGGTGAGAAACCGCAGAAGTGATGATTGCTGGGCAGAAAAAGAGAATTTCGACGGTTTTATCCCATTTTTAATTTTGGGACTTTGAGAGCTCAGATTTTGATGATATTTTGAGAGTTTTTCAGAGAAAGCTTTTGGGTAACAATTCCTAACTCCCTTATGGTTATATTCCACTAATCTATAGTTGATTTCATTATTAATTAAGGCATTTGGGTTGAGAAAATTGGGAAAAAGTTTGGAAAGTTCATCAACCAAGTTTTTGAGTTTTGATTCAGATTTTGTTATTGGATTTGGATAATTTTGGTACGAGTGAACTTGTGAGTGAATGTGTATTCATATTTTGTGACTATACCCGATTCTGAGACGTGGGTCCGGATAGACTTTTTGGGGAGATTTTTAATTTCTTGTTTAAGCTTTGATTTCATTAATTAGATTAGTTTCTTATAGTTATATTTATGGTATGCAATTACTTTTTGCTAGATTTGGGCCATTCAAAGTCGGATATTCGTGGAAAAGGCATTGTTACCGATTGATTGAGCTTGGTTCGAGGTAAGTGGCTTGTCTAATCTTGTGTGGGGGAACTCCTCTTAGGATTTAGTACTGTTGTGATATGTGAGCGCCGTATACGAAAGGAGATGAGTGCGTACATGTTCTATTTGGTGTAAAATCCGATTTTTGCTGAGTAATAATTGGTTTCTTCTTAATTGAGATATACCAGCATGTGTAGTTATCCTGTTTAGCCTAGAATAACATGTCTATGTGCCTTAAATGCCTATCTGAACTCTGTGCAACATGCTTAATGAATTTACTACTTTTTTGTTAACTTGTACTTAGTGTAAACTGTAGGATTTCTTGCTGTAACTGTTATTTCCATTATTGAGTTGCGTATTTACTTTGGGTCTATGAAACGGTATTCCAGGAGATCCCCCTATATATTTATTTTGGGACTATTGGACGGTATCCCGGGAGATCCCCTGCATATTTATTTTGGGACTACGGGACAGTATCCCGGGATATTCCCCTGCATATTTACTTTGGGACTACGGGACGGTATCTCAGGAGATCCCCCTATACATTTACTTTTAGGACTACGAGACGGTATCTCGAAAGATCCCTTGCTGTTATTCTTGTGTACTATACTGTTATTCTTCTGTGATTTCCTTTTGTTAAATTTTAGTCTCTTATTATACTGTGATATTTTTATCTGCCTTATTTAACTTATATATACCAGTAGGGCCCTAACTTGAACAAAAAACACACATGCAGGGAAGATCGGAGCTGAAGATGCGAGTACGAGTAAAACTCCAAGCAATGGAACAGTAATTCCAAAGGCAACCATGGAACAGAGTAACAAAGCATAAGGAAATGAGAAGAGCATGCAGGAGAAGCAAATGTAGGGAGCTGGGGAAAGATCATGGGCTGGATTATTTAGTGAGAATAAACTTGTAGCTAAAGGAATGAATCTATCATATATCTCACAAGTGATACAATATGGTAAAATGGTGGTGCAATTGCTGGAAGATGACATAGCGGAGTAACAACAAAAATGGAATAGAGCCTTAATTCTATATGTAGTAGGAAACATCCTAACAATTGGAGCAATTGAGCGTTTCATAGCTCAACAATGGGGAAAAATCAGGAAGCCAAAGGTATTGTTTCATAGTGACGGTTATTTTATAGTTTTGATGAATAATAATGAAGAAAGGGATGATGTTATAATGAATGGCCCATACACATTGAATAATAGACCAATTATCCTACGACCATGGAAGGAGGGTTTTGATTTTGGGGATGAGATTCTTAGAACTATACCGTTATGGGTTAAGTTCCCTAAACTACCACTTAGTTACTAGAGTAATAAGGCTCTAAGTAAGATTAGGAGTAGGCTGAGTAAACCTTTATATGCTGATGCATGTACCACTATGGATGATAGAGTCTCTTATGCAAGAGTACTAATTGAGATGGACATTACAAGGCCCCTACCAGGATCAATAAAGCTCTATGATCTAACTGGGAAAATGATTGAACAGATTGTGCAGTATAACTGGAAGCCACAATATTGCCAAGTGTGTTGTCAACTTGGCCACTCATATAATGAACAACAATAGTAACATAGAGAAGAGGGGCAGCAGAGGACCAATAATCAGAAACCAATGCAGGAATGGAGAATAGTAAGGAAACTTGATCCAAAGGTGGATAAGATAGATGGTCGTTGAAGATTTAGGGAGAAGATTGAAACAGAAGGTGAATTAGTTCCAAATCAGCAAGAGAATGACAACCAATGGTAGATTGCTAAAGGGAGGTCTGCATCAAAAAAACAAATGGGATCTAAAAGGGGGAGATGAAGTTGATATAGGCAATGCATTTAAAGTCCTAGTTGACACTACCTAGAAGATAATGCAATTCTCTGAAGAACAGGAGATAAGAAGTAGGAGGAGTAGACAAGGAAATGAAGACAATCCTAAAATAACAAATATATCAAGAAGAACATTATAACATGGAATGTGGGGGGCATGAATAAGGTGTATAAACAAAAACTACTAAAAAATTTCTGCAAGGAGAATAGTGTAGCAGTAATGGCAGTTCTGGAAAATAGAGTAAAAGAGAGTAATGTTGATGCAATAATGAGGAAAGTATTTGGTGACTGGAAGTGGGTAGCCAACTATGAAGCAGCACCAGGTGGAAGAATTTGGGTTGTTTGGGACCAAACAAGGGTGGAGTTTGAAGTGAAACAAGTACATGATTAATACTTAGCATGGCAAATAACTATGAGACAATGTAATAGTAATTTCGTTTTTGTTATAGTATATGACAAACATAATATTCAATATAGGAAGAATTATGTGGAATGATATCAAAGGAATAATGAATGGAGTAAATTGGCCAAGTGTTTTAATGGGGGACTTTAACAGTAACATGTCCATTGAAGATAGAATACAAGGGAATCCAATACAAGAAGCGGAAGTGAGAGATTGTAAAATTTTTGTAGGGGATGCTGGTTTGACTGAAATCAGAACAATTAGGAGATATTACACATGGACAAATAACAATGTGCATAGTAGAATTGACAGAATCCTAGTCAATGTAGAATGGATACAGAAGTGGCCTCAAATGGAGGGGATCATTATGCAACCTGAGTTTTCAGATCACTGACCCTTGAAGATAACTATGGCTGAGAATATAGTACAGGGTAAGAGACCTTTCAAGTTTTTTAACTACCTAGATAATCATCAGAAGTTTGAGGAAATAGTAAGTCATTACTGGAGGAGGAAACATAGTGGAAACAAGATGCAAAATGTATGGTACAAGCTTAAAGCAATGAAAGGTGAATTAAAGAAGCTAAACACTCAGGAATACAGTAGTGTGGGGAATAAGATACAAAAAACAAAAAATAAACTGATGAAGGTTCAACATGATATGAAATCTCCAGAAGATAATAGTGTAGTCATAGATGAAGAAAAGAAGACTAAAATGGAGTTGGCTAAATGGATGGATGTAGAGGAAAACATAATGAAACAGAAGGCCAGAGTCAAATGGTTAAAAGAGGGGGACTCTAACACAACATATTTTCATGCTTGTGTGAAAAATAGATAGGCAAGGAATCACATAGGCAGACTTACAAATAATGAAGGGCACATACTGCAGAACACAAAGGAGGTTAAAGAGGAGATTCTACAGTTTTATAAATACTACTAGGTACAACAGCCTCTGCTCTGCCAGTAGTGAATCCAGATGTTATAAAGAGTGGGAGTATGCTGAACAGGAACCAACAAATACTGCTAATAAAGCCAGTCACAAAGGAAGAAGTGCAGACAGCTTTGAAGGGTATAGATGATAGCAAGGCACCAGGCTGTGATGGATACAATGCCTATTTTTTCAAGAGGACATGGAGCATAATAGGAGGGGAAATTACATCAGCAGTATTGGAGTTCTTTGAAAGTATAGATTTGTGCAAGTCCATAAATTGCACTACTATTACTTTGATTCCTAAAGTGAGGAATCCAACAAATATCAATGAGTTTAGGCCTATTTCTTGCTGTACAGTAATTTATAAGATAATCTCCAAGATTCTAACAGCAAGATTACAGGAAGTCATGCCAGAATTAATAGACAAATGCCAAACAACTTTTGTTCTAGAAAGAATGATAACTGATAACATCATCATGAGCCATGAGTTGGTAAAAGGCTATGAAAAGAAGAACATATCACCAAGGTGTATGCTAAAGATTGATATGCAAAAATCATATGACTCTGTGGAATGGATATACATAGAACAAATGATGAAGTTACTGGGATTCCGTGAGAAGTTTGTAAGGTGGATAATGAAATGCATAAGTACTATGAATTATACAGTAATTATCAATGGGCAACCAGCAAAACCATTTGAGGCAAGGAAGGGGCTTAGATAAGGTGACCCACTGTCTTCTGTGTTGTTTGTAATGGCAATGGAGTACTTAGCAGGCTGTTTAAAACCTTAAAGAGGAATAAAGAATTCAAATACCACCCTAAGTGTGCTAAAGTCTTTAGTACACTTAGGTTTTGCTGATGATTTGCTACTTTTTTGCAGGGGTGATATACAATCAGTGAGTGTGCTAAAAGAAGATTATAGATATGCTAGGATACAACAAGGGAGAGATACCCTTAAGATACTTGGGGGGTACCTTTGAGCACAAAGAAGATATCAATTATCCAATATGAGCCTTTGATTGATAGGATGCTGAACAGAATTCAATGCTGGACATCAAAATTTCTGTCCTATGCAGGGAGACCTGTGCTTATAAAGAGTGTTTTGACTGCAATTCAAAATTTCTGGGCTCAGATCTTTATTTTGCCAAAGAATATTATTCAGTTCATTGATACAATATGTAGAAGGTTCCTATGGTCAGGGAATGTAGAGCCTACTAGGAAGGCACTGATTGCTTGGGAAAAACTATGCTGCCCAAGAGTATCAGGTGGCTTGAATTTACTAATGTGGAACTATGGAATAAAGCTGCTATTTGCAAGCTACTATGGAACATATGCAAGCAGAAGGAGAAGTTATGGATACAATGGGTTAATGCTTACTATATAAAAGGGAATACAATATGGAGTACAACACCTAAGAATGCATCTTGGGTCATTTAACAGATTTTCAAGGCAAAGAATTACTTTGAAAATACTGGTTACACTGAAGAAGAGGTTCAGAGGATGGGCAATTTCTCAATCAAAAAAATGTATAAAACCATGCAGAGGGAGTTTTAGAAGGTAACTTGGAGGAAATTAATATGAAACAATTATGGACTTCCAAAATGGATATTCATATTGAGAATTGCAATTCTGGAAAGCCTGGAAACAAAGGAAAGATTAGCAAGATGGGGAATAAATATAGAGACCACATGTGTACTATGTCAACAAGAGACTGAAATAGTTCAGCACTTATTTTTTGATTGTGCAATGACAGGAACAATATGGTAGCAACTGCTACATTGGCAAGGAATACCGAGGAAGAAGCTGAAATGGCAAGAAGAACTGGCATGGATAGAAAGAGTAGCAAAAGGAAGAAGTGGAGGAGCAACTTTATGTAGAATGACTTTAGCTACTGCAGTTTACTATATATGGCAAGAAAGAAACAGTGTCATCTTTAAACATAAAAGAAGAAGAACAACAAGCATAGTTAGAATGATCATTCAGAAAATTCACATTAGAGCCACCATGTTTCCTAGGTTAGAAAGGACTATGACCAAGGTAAAATGGTACCCGAATCCAATGGAATAGTGATAGAGGACTGGAAAGTAGGAAAGTAGAAATGTAGAAGGATCCAAACTGGGGCTGCATGTCCAGTGGGGTTAGTTTTTGTTATGTTGTTTGCATGTACATATTTTACTTGGTAAATAAAGTCAATTAATTACCAAAACAAATGAGACTAAGTAAAATAATTATATTTTCATGTATGTTGTGTACAACCCCATTACTACAACCTTTTACAACTATCTATAGAGCTTCTATACCAAAGAATAGAATTAAGCACTTGGGACAATACCCGACTAGCATAAATTAAGAAAAACAACATGATAGCTACCACAGAATTGGAGTGGTGCCTCACCATATACTTCAGGAAGAGAGTCATCCTTGTCGTGACCGCATGCCACGTATCATACTCATCCAGAAACATGTAAAGTAAGTAGAGCCCTGGAGGGGGGCCCCTAAGGGCTGAGTACACCACAACGGTACTCAATAAGTGTCATAGACTCTCTCTAACTTAAGTTCTTGGGACAAACTCTATAAAAATAATGCACCAATATTTGAAATAAAATGATAAGAAATACTATCAATTCATGACCCTTGTCATTTTGAATAAAAGCCAAGTGAAATATAACCCACAATATAAACTTTTAAAATATTTACACCAATCCAAGATTTTGGATAAAATCATACAAAATCATTTCATTTGCTTTAATTCATTGAAATAATTTTCGGCTACTTAGGCCAAAACATAAGAAAATCATCCTTATCTTTCACTAGGAGTGCTATACCATCACCGACATAAGAAGGTCAACTAGGTTATGTACCTTGCGGCAAGTATAATATACCCTACTTGCTCAGGTCGTCTCATCATAGTGCCGTACGAATCGACTCAATCATGCTAATAATAGAACAAAATAGTGCTCTCTCGAGGGAGAT